CGCGCGACTCCCCGCAGCGCCCCCCGCGCGTGACACCCTTGGCGCCCCCTGAAGCTCCTGTGGCTTCCAGGAGCCTTCAGCATTTTGCTTTTCAGACCTCAGCTCTGTCTCCTCTTTCTGCCCCCAGGTTCTTGTTTGGAGAACGGCCATTCTGGTGGGTCTATGAATCCGGGCTCCACAGCAAGGAAGACGTCCTGCTTCGCCAGTTCCCTGTCTCCTGTGAAACAGGGCCAGGTTGGTTATGAAGATGCTAAAGCTGCCGCTTCTGTTAGGGATGTGAGGAGTAAGGGCGCGCCCCCACCCCACTCAGTTGGCCGCTGGATCCAGCAGCCAGCCCTGCATGGGGCTGCTCCATCCGGATTGGGGCAGTCCCCTGCCCAGGATTCCACTGAGCCAGTTAACCGGTTCAACGGTAGGTAAACGCAGGCCTGAACCGGTTAACTGATTTATCGAGATTTTACATCCCTCGCGGGTAAGTACCAGCCCTCTTATCAGCCTAGCCATGGAGCACCGTCCCCAGTGCTCTGCAGCGGGTAAGTACCTCCCCTCTTATCAGCCTAGTCCTGGAGCCCCGTCCCCAGTGCTCTGCAGCGGGTAAGTACCTCCCCTCTTATCAGCCTAGTCCTGGAGCCCCGTCCCCAGTGCTCTGCAGCGGGTAAGTACCTCCCCTCTTATCAGCCTAGTCCTGGAGCCCCGTCCCCAGTGCTCTGCAGCGGGTAAGTACCTCCCCTCTTATCAGCCTAGTCCTGGAGCCCCGTCCCCAGTGCTCTGCAGCGGGTAAGTACCTCCCCTCTTATCAGCCTAGTCCTGGAGCCCCGTCCCCAGTGCTCTGCAGCGGGTAAGTACCTCCCCTCTTATCAGCCTAGTCCTGGAGCCCCGTCCCCAGTGCTCTGCAGCGGGTAAGTACCTCCCCTCTTATCAGCCTAGTCCTGGAGCCCCGTCCCCAGTGCTCTGCAGCGGGTAAGTACCTCCCCTCTTATCAGCCTAGTCCTGGAGCCCCGTCCCCAGTGCTCTGCAGCGGGTAAGTACCTCCCCTCTTATCAGCCTAGTCCTGGAGCCCCGTCCCCAGTGCTCTGCAGCGGGTAAGTACCTCCCCTCTTATCAGCCTAGTCCTGGAGCCCCGTCCCCAGTGCTCTGCAGCGGGTAAGTACCTCCCCTCTTATCAGCCTAGTCCTGGAGCCCCGTCCCCAGTGCTCTGCAGCGGGTAAGTACCTCCCCTCTTATCAGCCTAGTCCTGGAGCCCCGTCCCCAGTGCTCTGCAGCGGGTAAGTACCTCCCCTCTTATCAGCCTAGTCCTGGAGCCCCGTCCCCAGTGCTCTGCAGCGGGTAAGTACCTCCCCTCTTATCAGCCTAGTCCTGGAGCCCCGTCCCCAGTGCTCTGCAGCGGGTAAGTACCTCCCCTCTTATCAGCCTAGTCCTGGAGCCCCGTCCCCAGTGCTCTGCAGCGGGTAAGTACCTCCCCTCTTATCAGCCTAGTCCTGGAGCCCCGTCCCCAGTGCTCTGCAGCGGGTAAGTACCTCCCCTCTTATCAGCCTAGTCCTGGAGCCCCGTCCCCAGTGCTCTGCAGCGGGTAAGTACCTCCCCTCTTATCAGCCTAGTCCTGGAGCCCCGTCCCCAGTGCTCTGCAGCGGGTAAGTACCTCCCCTCTTATCAGCCTAGTCCTGGAGCCCCGTCCCCAGTGCTCTGCAGCGGGTAAGTACCTCCCCTCTTATCAGCCTAGTCCTGGAGCCCCGTCCCCAGTGCTCTGCAGCGGGTAAGTACCTCCCCTCTTATCAGCCTAGTCCTGGAGCCCCGTCCCCAGTGCTCTGCAGCGGGTAAGTACCTCCCCTCTTATCAGCCTAGTCCTGGAGCCCCGTCCCCAGTGCTCTGCAGCGGGTAAGTACCTCCCCTCTTATCAGCCTAGTCCTGGAGCCCCGTCCCCAGTGCTCTGCAGCGGGTAAGTACCTCCCCTCTTATCAGCCTAGTCCTGGAGCCCCGTCCCCAGTGCTCTGCAGCGGGTAAGTACCTCCCCTCTTATCAGCCTAGTCCTGGAGCCCCGTCCCCAGTGCTCTGCAGCGGGTAAGTACCTCCCCTCTTATCAGCCTAGTCCTGGAGCCCCGTCCCCAGTGCTCTGCAGCGGGTAAGTACCTCCCCTCTTATCAGCCTAGTCCTGGAGCCCCGTCCCCAGTGCTCTGCAGCGGGTAAGTACCTCCCCTCTTATCAGCCTAGTCCTGGAGCCCCGTCCCCAGTGCTCTGCAGCGGGTAAGTACCTCCCCTCTTATCAGCCTAGTCCTGGAGCCCCGTCCCCAGTGCTCTGCAGCGGGTAAGTACCTCCCCTCTTATCAGCCTAGTCCTGGAGCCCCGTCCCCAGTGCTCTGCAGCGGGTAAGTACCTCCCCTCTTATCAGCCTAGTCCTGGAGCCCCGTCCCCAGTGCTCTGCAGCGGGTAAGTACCTCCCCTCTTATCAGCCTAGTCCTGGAGCCCCGTCCCCAGTGCTCTGCAGCGGGTAAGTACCTCCCCTCTTATCAGCCTAGTCCTGGAGCCCCGTCCCCAGTGCTCTGCAGCGGGTAAGTACCTCCCCTCTTATCAGCCTAGTCCTGGAGCCCCGTCCCCAGTGCTCTGCAGCGGGTAAGTACCTCCCCTCTTATCAGCCTAGTCCTGGAGCCCCGTCCCCAGTGCTCTGCAGCGGGTAAGTACCTCCCCTCTTATCAGCCTAGTCCTGGAGCCCCGTCCCCAGTGCTCTGCAGCGGGTAAGTACCTCCCCTCTTATCAGCCTAGTCCTGGAGCCCCGTCCCCAGTGCTCTGCAGCGGGTAAGTACCTCCCCTCTTATCAGCCTAGTCCTGGAGCCCCGTCCCCAGTGCTCTGCAGCGGGTAAGTACCTCCCCTCTTATCAGCCTAGTCCTGGAGCCCCGTCCCCAGTGCTCTGCAGCGGGTAAGTACCTCCCCTCTTATCAGCCTAGTCCTGGAGCCCCGTCCCCAGTGCTCTGCAGCGGGTAAGTACCTCCCCTCTTATCAGCCTAGTCCTGGAGCCCCGTCCCCAGTGCTCTGCAGCGGGTAAGTACCTCCCCTCTTATCAGCCTAGTCCTGGAGCCCCGTCCCCAGTGCTCTGCAGCGGGTAAGTACCTCCCCTCTTATCAGCCTAGTCCTGGAGCCCCGTCCCCAGTGCTCTGCAGCGGGTAAGTACCTCCCCTCTTATCAGCCTAGTCCTGGAGCCCCGTCCCCAGTGCTCTGCAGCGGGTAAGTACCTCCCCTCTTATCAGCCTAGTCCTGGAGCCCCGTCCCCAGTGCTCTGCAGCGGGTAAGTACCTCCCCTCTTATCAGCCTAGTCCTGGAGCCCCGTCCCCAGTGCTCTGCAGCGGGTAAGTACCTCCCCTCTTATCAGCCTAGTCCTGGAGCACCGTCCCCAGTGCTCTGCAGCGCTCTGCCCACACGCGCCTCGCGTGCCCGAGTACTGACGGGCAGCCCCGATAGCGCGCAGCGTCGCTACAGCAGAGGTCAGGGTGGGAAGTGAAGCGCACGGTACTGAATGGGAACTGCAGGAGTTGAGGGTGGGGAAAGCAGTGCTCCCCATAGGCAGCAGGCTGAGGGAGATGGCGGGGCCCCGGGCATCTCTGGAATGTGACTGTCGAGAGGCCCTGTCTGTGCTGCAGGACGGGCACTGCTCAGCACTTTGTGGTACCGGGGTAGGGGGTGGCCAGCACGGAAGCCCAACCTTAAGTGACCAGTCAGCTGGGGTCACAGCGTGGGAGACAGCTCAGCTGTCAGGCCCTTAATCCGCCTGTGATTCTCCACAGAACACATTAGTGGCAAGCAGTAACTGTCACTGCCCTTCTAGGCCAGGAAATCCTTCTTTAGGGAAGATTCTGTTTCCTCTCCCTCCGTCTGGGCGTGGATGCTGGTTGATGGCAGCCCATGCACTGTGCAGTGGGCCTTGACTGCCAGCCACCAGAAGCCATTCTTGAGCTCCCCCAAGTGCAAGCCACAGAACGAGGCAACTTGCATGCAGCATCTTGTAGTCCTGAAATCTCCTTGGTGCTGCCCCTCCTGGCTCAGGCCCCCTTCCATGCCATGGTAACGCTGGCCTCTCCCTTGGAGCTCTTCCCCGACGGCAGAGTGAGGAGCGACTCCAGTTTACACCAGCTGCGGATCTGGCCCGGAGTCCCTGGCAGTGGCGCAGGCTGATGAATCTTACCGGGGGCAGAGATGGCTGGATTACTTCTGGTGACAGTTGTGTCAAATGGGTCTGTGACCTCCATTTCCTGCAGTGATTAACACTCAGTTCTAGATCTCAAAGCACCTCACAAAGGAGGTCAGCGTCGTCATCTCTTGTTTCATAGATGAGGAAACTGAGGAACAGATTTCCTCCCCACCATGGACTCTCTTCAGGCCAGCAGCAGAACTTGGCATAGAATCTAGTCTCCTGATTCTCAGTCCAGTGCGCTACCCACTAGGCAATGCTACCTTCCTACCCTAATTGTCCTCACAGAGACAGGCAGGAAAATATTTAATCCCTTGTGTTCCTGTTATGCAGGTAGCCCCTCCGGCCATTGCATGATCACAGGGGCAGCCTTGTGGCCAATAGTCTCTGCTCTCATGGCTCTGGCATCCCGACACTCCAGTAGGTAGGTACCACAAGGGCCGTGGGACGGGCAGCTCCCTGACACCCCATTGATGGCGGGGGGGCGGGGGGGGGGGGGGCCTGTTGCAGTGGGCGTAACCATGACAGCAGTGTTCAGAATTCGTGTGACACTAGAGCCCTGAGAGCCCAGCTCATGACCAATTCTCTAGGGCCCGAGTCTTCATCGCCCCGACGCTGTGTTGTCATTTGTAGCCACACTGAGCTGGTGGTTTTCATGCGTGACTGGAAAGCCCATAGCAAAAACGGGCAGGGTCCTATCTAAACGGGACACGTCCAGGAAATGACAGCAGTGTTCAGAATTCGTGTGACACTAGAGCCCTGAGAGCCCAGCTCATGACCAATTCTCTAGGGCCCGAGTCTTCATCGCCCCGACGCTGTGTTGTCATTTGTAGCCACACTGAGCTGGTGGTTTTCATGCGTGACTGGAAAGCCCATAGCAAAAACGGGCAGGGTCCTATCTAAACGGGACACGTCCAGGAAATGTGCTTGTTCCCCAGCCACGCCCCTTGTCCTGCTGTGAATGATTATTGCAAAAAAGGAAACATTCCTCTGGCAAACTGAGGGGAATCCCTGTGAGCCCGAGAAATCGCTGCAAAACATTCCCGCAGGTTGGCTGCAGTTGGTTGGACTGTCGGTTTTTGCCTTGTGCATAAGCCTTTCTCTGGCCAGCGCCCGTTGCCCCGCTGGGACGCTCCCGCCCGTGCAGAGCGTCTCCAGAACAGCTGGCAACGTGCTCCCAGTGCCGGGCAAAGGGAGCAGGGCTAGGACCGCACTGTGCAGCGTGCCGCTACCCCAGGCGCATGCACCTCCATGTTGCAGGGGGGTGGAATGTCTAGTGTGGGAATGCTGAGGTGAGAGAGCTGCCGTCCTGCAGTGCCAGGCAGGAGGGCTCGTGTTCTTTCCCCATGCAGCTGTGTAACGCCCCTTCCTTCCCCCCCTCCAAACAGCCGGCTGGTGAAGTTCGCCCCTTTCATGGTCTACGTTCTCCTCCTGCTGGCTGTGGGGCTCTCACGTATCTTCATCCTGGCGCACTTCCCCCACCAGGTGCTGGGTGGCATCGTAGCGGGTTAGTAGGGCTGTGAGAGACTGGAGGGTGCAGGGCCTGCACACTTGCAGACACAGGGAGGAGGCTGGGGGGCGCAGGGCCTGGACGCTTGCAGACACAGGGAAGAGGTTGGAGGTCGCAGGTCTGGGCGCTTGCAGACACAGGGAAGAGGTTGGAGGTCGCAGGTCTGGGCGCTTGCAGACACAGGGAAGAGGTTGGAGGTCGCAGGTCTGGGCGCTTGCAGACACAGGGAAGAGGTTGGAGGTCGCAGGTCTGGGCGCTTGCAGACACAGGGAAGAGGTTGGAGGTCGCAGGTCTGGGCGCTTGCAGACACAGGGAGGAGGCTGGAGGGCGCAGGGCCTGGGCGCTTGGAAACACAGGGAGGAGGCTGGGGGGCGCAGGGCCTGGGCGCTTGCAGACACAGGGAGGAGGCTGGGGGGCTCAGGGCCTGGGCGCTGGCAGACACAGGGAGGAGGCTGGGGGGGTCAGGGCCTGGGCGCTGGCAGACACAGGGAGGAGGCTGGGGGGGCGCAGGTCTGGGCGCTTGCAGACACAGGGAGGAGGCTCCGCTCTGCAGGCGCTGCCCTGGGCTGGGTGTTGGCGGCCCGCGGCCCCGAGGAAAGGGAGCTAAGTTTCTACATCGCCACCTCGCTGGCCCTGCTGCTGAGCGCGGCGGGGCTGTACGGGAGCATGCGCGCTCTGGGCACGGACATGGACTGGTGAGTGTCCCTCGTGGACAGGGCCCCTCTGCGCAGCTTCCCCCGGGAGAGACCCAGATCCAGCGTGGCCTGACCGGCCCCGGGACCCCGACACACCCCAGCGGTTCTCCCCTGT